AGTGAGCTACAAATGCTCTTTCCCATTGATATCTTTTAAGCTTTGAAAGCCTTAGCATAATAAGAAAATGACATCTTTAAAATAATAAAACAAATCTCTCAACAATAAAACAACCATCTTAATCTAATAGAATAATCCCTTATAGCATAATAAAATAACTCTTCAAAATGCATGCTTTTCATAACATATAATATTACCAAATGCTTTGAAAAGTATGCATTATTACTGCATACAATCCAAATTGGCATTATAATAATGCCAGTCTAAATTATAATTAATATAATTAATTCTGACTAATAAAATTGCAAATACATGATAAAAATACATGTAAAATTGATGTATCTCTGTGCCAATTTTCTGACTTTATTATAAAAATTAAAAAGTTTGATGTGTTATAACTTCTTAAAAAAAAATTAAAATAAAAAATGTTCTTACAGAATTATAGTTTTACTAAAGATCTATCAATTTGTAAGAGGATTTTTTATTTTAATTATTTGCTCAAAAGTTATAAGATTTTTTATAAGCCAGTTAAAAGTGAATATCTTATGCTATCCCATATTATATTTTAATTTTTCTAGTTGAATTTATTTTGATATATTATAAAATTATTCTTTTAATTATCTTTATTTTTTATTAATTTTAAATTAATTTACAAAGAATTCTTTATCTTATAATCTGAGTTGAATTGAATAATTACTTTAAAATTATTTTTTCATAGAGAGAACATTAAAAAATTATTATCTTTTTAATATAAATATTAACTTGTGATAAGTATAACTCTTAAATTATCAAAAATACATATTTTTGCTAAAAATTATGATATAAAGATTCTTAATAATGTATTAATAAGTATATATTTTTCTATTAGAAGTTATTAAAGATTATTTCTAAAAATAAGTAATAACAGTATTTTTTAATATGATTAGCTAGAATATAATCCAATTCTAAAGTATAATTTAAATATATAATAATTAGTTTATTAATAAGATAAAATAATAGATCTTAATTAAGATCTATTCTATAAGAGATATTTCTATCTACTCAAAATATAAATTAAAAACTAAACTTATAGAATTCAAACTAAATTAAATAATAAATTAAGAGTTATCTAAATTTAATTAACTAATTAATTATAGCTAAGATTTATTATTTTAGAGATTATATAAATAATACTTTTATTATAATACTTATGCTTTTTTTATTATAATTTAAATATTACTTTAATTAGTATTATAATATTAATTTTATTATAATAATATTATTAGTTTTGCTATAATAGTTTTACTAATTTTATTATAATAATTTTATTATAATTATTATACTTATAAATATTTATAAATAATATAAATAATATTTTCTAAAGCTAATATTTAATAAAATATAAATAATTAATTATTTAATCATATTATGATATAAAGTGATAAATAATAAATAACTAATTAATATTTTATTTAAAAGTTTATATCATAATAATATATATAATAAAAAATTTAACTTTAAATAAGTATTATGAGATAGTGAAAAAAAGTTATTTATAATTATTTCTTGAATAAGAAATTCTAAATCTGATAATAAATCTAAAGTTAATAATAAATTTGATTTTAATAGTAAAACTAATACTAAAATATATAATAAAATAATTATATATATAATAAAAATAAAGAAATATAATTAGTAAATATATAGATTAATAATTAATTCTTATTATAAAGATAGAATAATCTTGTTTCTTTAGATTTTTATTTCTGCTTTTTGTAATTTATTATAATATAATTTTATATTAGAAAAGTATAGTTATTTAGATTATAATAAAATATTTTCTAATAATTATCATAAAATATATTGAATTCTTAATATAAATTATAATACTATAAATAGTATATATTTTTTATTAGTATTTAAAAATTAAATTATAATCTTTTAAGAATTTATTAAATTATTTTAATTTTTAATTTATCTGAATTCTTAATTTATCTAAAAGATATAGTATTCTGAATCTAGATAAGTAATTTTTTAGCTTATTCTTAATTTTTTTTTATAAATTTAAATTTTTTAGAAATATTTGATTAACTTTTATTCTTTATAAAATCTATTATTTCAATATCTATAATATATAAAATTATAAATTTAGTAAAATAAATATAAAATATTATTATAATATTTATAAGAGCTTGTAAATTAGATAAATTAGATATATTATAATTGTTTAATCTTTTTTTAATTAATTCTAATATAAAATGATCTGAATAATTAATTTTTCTTTTATAATTTTAAAAAATTTTATAATATTAATTATCTTAGATAATATACTAAGATTTCTTAATTTTTTATAAATATAAAAGAAATATAATAAATTAATATTGATATCTAATATTAATAAAGTTAAAATATAAGTTTTAGTTTTTATATTTCTAATATTAAGTTTATTTTATAAAATCTATTATATCATATTTTTAATAATTTCTTATAAAATCTGATTAAAAATAGTTTTACTTTTGAATTAGATATTTTTCTTAATGAAAAATAAGATATTTACTTGATTACTAAAATTATATTTATTCTATAAGATTTATTTAATTATCTCTTTAATAATTTTTTCTTTCAAAATTTTTAAAAACTTAATTATAATTATTTTACAATTATCTTTATTTAAATTTATAATTTTATTTTTCTTATTTTAATGATTAAATATTAATATACTTATTTATTTACTGTTAAATTTAAAATTATCTTGAAAATATTATCAAGCTTAATTCTATTTTTTATTATTAATAAGATTTTTAAGAAATTTTGAGATATATTAACTAAGATTAAATATACTTATCTTGAAGCTAAGATTATATTTTTCAATAATTTTAGTTATAATAGCTAATATAATTAAATATTATAGTAGATCAATAGGATATAAATAATTTTTTGAGTTATATATATTATAAAAAATATTTTTTCAAATCAAAATTAATTATTTATAAAGTAATATAGTTATATCTTATAATTATATCAATAAATAAATATAAAATAAATTAAAAGTCTTAAAATTTATAATTTTATATAATAAAATTAATAAGAATATTAATAAAATTAAAAATATATAGTATTACTTAAAGAAATTTTGAAAAAAATAATTAATATAAGATATATAATATATTTATTAATTTAAAATTTATTATTATATAGAATATAATAAAAAAATTTATAACTTTAAGAATGAGATTTTAGATTATAATAATATATTTAATTTAATATTATTTTATTTTTATAATATTTGAAATAAATTCAGATATACTTTTATAATTATAAATTATTTTTTGTAAATATTAGATCTGTTTTATATTATATTAATTAAAGATATTATAACTAAATAAGATAAATTATTTAAGTATTTAATCTATTTAGAAAAATTATAATTAATATTATCTAAAAGATAAAAAAATTCTGCTAAATCTTTTATATACTTGAACTTATTATATATTAATTTACAGAATATTGATTTATTATGATTAATTTCTCTTTTAATTAATAAATTAATTACTTTCTTGAATATTTTTATTTAGTATTACTAGTTATATATTTTAAAAAAATAAATTTATTTTAAATTTATAAAAATTCTTTAAATTAATTTTTTATATTTATTAATAACTAATATTAAAAGTAAAAGAATTTATATATATTATATTATAAAAAATTCTAAATAAAATATATTATTTATTAATATATTAAAAAAGATAGTTTATTATATAAAAAATTTATATTTAGCTATTTAATTATAATTTATATTAATAATTATAAATAAAAAAGACTTTGAAAGAATTATATAAAATATATAAAAAATCTATCTCACCATATACTAAATATTATACAAATCATATAGAAAGATTTTACTCTTATAAGTATTAAATTAGATATAAAAATAATTATTCTTTACCTTTAAATTTATGTATATAGATAATTTTAAGTAATATAAAATTCTCTTTATAAGTATTTTGTAATATTTTTTAATCTGAATTTTATATTAACTAGTATAAAATCAAAAAATTCTTTCTATATTAAAACTTTTATGTATAAAATTCATCTATTTATTTCTTATTATATATATATATACTGTATAATGAAAAAAATAATGATGCCAAATTTTTGCATTTCTGAGTAACTATAACAGATATTTAAATAAAATTTGATATATTAAAAAATCTAAAAGATTTTTTATTAACTATAAAATTTTTAGTAGAGAATTTTATTACTATTTACTTCTATTACTAATTCATATCTATTTTTTATTGATCATACTAAATTAATTATTGTTTTATTAGGAATTACTTCTCATTTTTCAGTTAAAAATTACTTCAATTACTCAATATTTTATGATATTCATCACTTGACTTTATCCTTAATTATTTGCTATAAGTTTTCAATAGAATTAAGATTAGAACTGTTTGTTAATCAGTTAATTATCTTAATTTTATTTTCTGCAATAAAATTTTTCACTATCTTGAACATGTACTTCAGGTTATTATCCTATTATAAATACTAGTTATTACTGTATATATTTTATGTAATAGATAAAAGTTGGGTTTGCAGAATGTTAATATAAAATAGCCTATTCATCATTTTGGTAAAGCAAAATAATAATATTTTTCTTCTAAGTAAGATTTTATTTTATATCATAATCTTCTAATATATTTTAGATAGTTGCTAAAAAGATTTTACTCCAGTTTTATATTATTGATAAACTTTATTTCAAAAAAGATCAAATGTAGTCTCATCAATAAAAATAATATAGCTCTAGTTATCTTATATATATGCTTTTGCTTATCTTTTTCATATTTTCACATGCTAATCTGTAAGTATTAGTATCTCACAAGATATAAAACTCATATAATCTTTTTTTTAAATTTCATCAAATTATTTGATATGATATTGATATTTCTTGATTTTCTTATACTTTTATAGCAAGTTGCCATGTTAAAATACTATTATTATTATGTATATATTGTCTGATAATGGCAGTAATTCTTTATATAATTTTAGATTTGTGACCATTCTCTTATTGATATTTCACTATACCTATTTCTTTAAGTTTTTTGATATTTTATTCAACAATTCAAAGAGAAATATTTGTTTTTTGATAAATTTTATTTGCTGAATATGTATTATTTCATACTATACATAAAGCTTTGTATTAACCATATTTTGTTCTATTTATATGGATAGCAAGAAGATGTTAAATAATTATTTTATCTTTAAATCTATTTGTCTAAATAGATATTTATTAAAAAAATAAGATATATTTACAATTAATAGCATGATTTTTTATTTATTTTGAAAAATATTTTGATTTAGCAATCACTATTTTTTTTGTTATATAATATATATAACTTACTATAATATATTATTTTCTTGAAATATGCTTACTATTTTTTTATTTCTCATTAGTATCTAGTCATAATAAGATAATTCTTTTATTCTTGAAACTATATTAAATTATTTCTTTTTCTATTAATCTTTCATATACTGTTATATTTATATATTTATTAGGATCTTCTTTAGCTTCTTTTATATAATTATATATTCAAGTATTAATTTGCATCTTATTTCTTAAATAATAGTAAATTAAACTTATTTTTATTAGTTATAATTATGAACTTATTTGGATTTTTATTATAGTCAATCATCTATTTTCTTAAATAAGTCTCTTATTGCTTCTGAATTAAATAGTTAAATTAATATATTTATAATTGGATAATAGATTTTTTATTACTGGATTTAGATTCATTATTTGCAAGTTAGTTGAAGAACAGAGATATATTAATAGATCTGAATAATAAAGTAACTGAAAATTCCAGTTGATTTATTATTGAATTGAAGAGATCTTGGATCATATTAATAATAGAAGTAGATGATAAATTCTTGTCTTTTTTAATGTAATTAATGGCTAATAGTTCTGTTATTGCTGGTTAAGAATTGATTTGCACCTAATTTAATAACAAACCATATGCGCCTTTGTATTAATATCTTAGAGGGCCGTGAATACATTGTTACCTCGATGCCTTCTGAACCTGTGCTGGCAGAGGCTAGTGCTCGAATAATGAATGATCCATATGTCAGCTTCACAGAACTTATTAATCAGCCTTTAAAGAAGGCGTTCTAGAGGCCAGTTACCGTGAAGAGCTTACTGCCAAGCTATTGCTTCTTAATGCCTGGGATTGTTGCATCAAAAAAAATTCTAGATGGCACAAATGTTAGCAAATATTATTTTCGTTTCGTGACTATGAAGAATTTTTAAAATCATTACTCGCGGACAATGTTTATGAGAAAATAAAGAATCGCCTTGAAGAGGAAGTAAAGTTTACAGGAAGTTCGTTCAACGAAGCTTATATTAAGTTCACACACTTTATCAATATTCTATATACGCCGAATAGAAAAGCTCTTGGGGATGCTCTGATTCGCGATGTTGCGTTTTCATGTAAACGGGATCAAAAACGTGTATATATTATCATACCTATATATATATAGGCACTCTTGTTGAAAAGCTTAATGAAGATCGTATTTCATACATACTAATACAAGTTAAAAATTGGTCTAATCATAATAGAGGCTATGGATATTTAAACTCTGCAACGACAATGCTGTCGCCAGCTTATATAGGCATTGAGGATCTGATGCAAATGCCATTTTTGTCGTTGTATTTACAATTAGATCCAACAAATGAGCGGGTTGACGTTCCGTTAAATTTTGATAAAATACGTCAAATCGTTTCTTGCAAACATAAGATCGAAGAGGTACTAAAAGACTATAAAACAGATGCTAATGAAACAAGAAAGAAATTTTTCAAGAAGATTAGAATTGACGATAAAAAGAAAGTCTCGAATCCCGAAATCACAGCGTTCCGAGAGCATTTTCAGATCTCACTTGGATTATCTGGATTATCTTCGAATGCTTACAATTGTTTGGGGCAGTTTACAACCTCATCATCGGCCGATCCCACAAATAGTCTTAAGCATTTATTGTCTGTTTGGGTCGATCCCGCGGTGGGAGAAAATCAAGAAGAAATGGAGATAATTAAACGCATGAATCCATTGGATATACAGTAGTAACGCACCACTCAAGTCGTCGATCTTAAATCACAAAATTTGCAATCACGAAAGTAACGACGAACATGCAAATGA